TGATCACGATTTTCCTGGTGATCATTGGTGACGCTAGTTGGCGCAGTCATTTAGTTGCGCAAACGGATTATCACTAATAACCCATTAAGGTGTAGTTAACCTTTATGCTTAGCTGGTGTTTTAATGGGAAGGAAATCAGATGGGATTTTGCATATTAGTTGGTAATATTGTTAATTAACTGAATATTACATTGCTAGGAACCTAAACCTGACTAAGAATTAGCAAGAAAATGAGAAAATGAACGTTCGCATAAGCAGGTCTACCTCCATCAACCAATTATAAATGGTACTGTAAGTGATACGATAAATGGTACTGAGACAGTTGAAACTATAAATGGAACTGGAACTATCAGCAGAGGGACTTTTGGTGTTGAATCATTCACATCAAAAAAAGAGATCAAGAGGTAGATATATTTTAGTTGGAAAAGTGTAGATTGGCAGAACTAATTATTTATATCTTAATCCTTTAGGATTATCACGAGGAGTTGCAGAGAAAATAAGCAAGAATAAACAGTGAGAATCTTCAACCTATCTATAATGTTCAAATCCCTCCTTTACGCGTTATCACTTTTCCTTATCCATCATGAACACTTGAACATCAAATACTTTCTTCGAGTTTCATCGTTTTTCTAACCACAAGAAGTGAAAGTGATGAAAAAACTGATAATGATTTTGATGCAGATAACTGAGATCCCAGAAATCTTACATTTGATAAATATTTAGATGGTGATGATGTGAATGATAAGAACAGCGACTAAGAGAGAGTTTTCTTAAATGATACGGATACATTTGATAACGTTTATAATAATTTCGTGAGTTTATTTCCTTTTTACCAGTTAGAATACTTTGATCTTTGCTGATAAACGTGATTGTCATTTACAGTATATGTTTCAGAAGAACAATATCTCTGCACTATTCGTATTGTATCGTTTAAATGCATGTCAAATTGCATAAGAGTCAGGCTTATCAATTGAGATGGAGTATCATGAAATATTGTAAGTTGGATTTTAAAAACACATCTCGTTATGAATTATTATTGATAAGTGTTTGTTAGAAATCTTAGGAGTTTATCCCACATTCTTCTATTGCAAGTTGACAACTTCTCAGACCTTCAAATTCAAGAGTTTTCCCAGGATACCTTGGAACAATTACAAAAAAATATGCGTAATTCCTATGCAGTGAAGGCAAAAATTCTACCAAATGTTAAAGTATTATTTTGGGAATATTATGAGGTATTATTACTTTATTGTTATTAATGTATCAACTTTTGAAAAGGCACATATCACAAATTTATATATATTATTACTTTTCCGCTTTAAACTGCACTTGATGAGAATCTCAGTTTGGAAGATGCTGAAAAGACTATAGAAGGATCATTTGCGAAATCTTTCCAAGATACCACTGACCAGAAAAAGTTTGAAATCATGCGATTTATTTTTTTACAGCTGTAGGTTAAAACTTACGATGTTTTTTTATCTGTTCTTCCTAACTGTCTGATTAACATTATTTTATTTTCTAAAGGGTTAAAAATATTCCCATCAATCCACTAAATGACCTTCTTAGTGAAGGCACTTTGACCGTTAACATAATAAGTCTGATATTGCGTTCTTTCTTTCACAATGCCACAATACATCTAACTGTATAGCCAAATACAGCTAGTATGAGTGCAAAGGTCACCAAGCTTGCCAATTTTGACCCTTCACGTGCAAAACAACCAGACATGATCAGCAATGTAGTGAATAATAATAAATCTTACTACGAAATGATATTTGGAGAGATAATTGGAGAAGGCAAAAACAATAAAACTAAGAAGAATGATTTGGATCTTATTAGATTAGGCGTCTTCATGAAAGATACTCTTGATATATTAGTTAAGAAGTTAAGAAAAGACCGTATTGTTTTTTCATGGCAAAGTATTGGTAATCATTTCTGTTATTTACATAATTATTTTAATTTATTCGTTGCTAAATTGTTTATGTTGGTAGTGATATCATGAACTAGTTATGTTATAGTTTTGGTTGCTCCCAGACTTTATTTCATGATTGATATTGATTATACTGAGCTTCCCAAATCTTTTCAGACCTGTGGACAGTTTATCAATGGTACTAATAATTTATTTACATTTGCGGTATATATGATGTAATATTTGAGTGTTTTTTTTAGTTCAATCATTTTTTAACGACTCTTACTAAATTTAGGAAAAATATAAATATGAAGTCAAGAGAACTCGTGACAATATTAACTGAATGAAAGAATTAAAGAAGGATGATAATTCTATAGAAGCCATCAAATAGTGTCGAACTACATTAGGAATGCTACAGTTTAGGAAACTAGTGAAAAGAACGTAAATGTTCTTTGATTAGTTACTATATTGTGCAAAAAATATGAAAAATACGTTCATTTATTTTTAATATTAGCCTTAGTATTTGCTTAATAAATAATATTACCAATTCTCTTCATATATGTAAACATGTGTAGCATTGTAAAAAAAAGATAAAATTTCAAATAAAATATCTTATCTTATAATTCTGATTAAAATAATATAGTAAGTGGGATTAGTAATTTGTATGTGAAGCTTTAATTCCTTTTTATTATCATAATTAATCAAATTTCTAATATCAGTAATTACGTTTTAACTTAAACCATTACCTAACCTTGCAATAGAAGTTGCCTTCTCAGAACCTGAAATACATTTATTAAACGCTGTAAAAAATTATTGGCTCTGTCTAGGTAGAGCTCATGATATAATTGCAGTAAAATTAATGCGATCTGATAAAATTATTTCAAAATTGAAAGTAAGTAATAATTTAAAGATATAATTTTTTTGAATTAGTTTCTTTACCATCATTTTTACAATTTTTATTTTTTGACAGGTATGGTATTTTTGCACAGATAAAAGGACACAGAATGGAGAATTAATACCTGTTTCGGTAAGATATATTATTACTTAATTAATATAATAAGAAAATGATTTTAATATACTTATATT